TTTCAACAATTACATGCAGCCGCTGGGAGAGATCATCAGGAGGTTTGGGCTGGGTGTTCATCAGTATGCGGATGATACCCAGCTCTACCTCTCTTTAAATCAGAACCAGTGAAGGCGGTGAAGGTCCTGTGTGAGTGTCTGGAGGCGGTTGGAGGATGGATGGCGGCTAACAGATTGAGGTTGAATCCTGACAAGACAGAAGTACTGTTTTTGGGGGACAGGAGGCGGGCAGGTGTGGAGGATTCCCTGGTCCTGAATGGGGTAACTGTGCCCCTGAAGGACCAGGTGCACAGCCTGGGAGTCATTTTGGACTCACAGCTGTCCATGGAGGCACAGGTCAAATCTGTGTCCAGGGCAGCTGTTTACCAGCTCCATCTGGTACGTAGGCTGAGACCCTATCTGCCTGCGGACTGTCTCGCCAGAGTGGTGCATGCTCTGGTTATCTCCCGCTTGGACTACTGCAATGCACTCTACGTGGGGCTACCTTTGAAGGTGACTCGGAAACTACAACTAATCCAGAATGCGGCAGCTAGACTGGTGACTGGGGGCGGCCGCCGAGACCATATAACACCGGTCTTGAAAGACCTACATTGGCTCCCAATACGTTTCCGAGCACAATTCAAAGTGTTGGTGCTGACCTTTAAAGCCCTAAACGGCCTCGGTCCAGTATACCTGAAGGAGCGTCTCCACCCCCATCGTTCTGCCCGGACACTGAGGTCCAGCGCCGAGGGCCTTCTGGCGGTTCCCTCATTGCGAGAAGCAAAGCTACAGGGAACCAGGCAGAGGGCCTTCTCGGTAGTGGCGCCCGCCCTGTGGAACACCCTTCCAGCAGATGTCAAAGCGATAAACAACTACCTGACATTCAGAAGACATCTTAAGGGAAGTTTTTAACGTGTGATATTTTACTGTATTTTTGGTTTCTATGGAAGCCGCCCAGAGTGGCTGGGGAGGCCCAGCCAGATAGGCCCAGCCAGATGGGCGGGGTATAAATAATAAATTATTATTATTATTATTATTATTATTATTATTATTATTATTATTATATTGGCTGAATATTAACAAAGCCATTAGAGTCTTCCTCAGAACTAATAAGTACTTTATCTAAATTTAGCAATGTACAGTGGTACCTCAGTTTAAGAACAGCCCTGTTTATGAACTATTCGGTTTACGAACTCCACAAAACCGGAAGTAGTGTCCCGGTTTGCTAACTTTACCTCGGTCTAAGAATGGAAGCTGAATGGACTTCCAGGTCAGCGCCATCGGTGAATGGCGGAGTTCCTCCGACCGGGCTCCGTGGAAACTGGGTCTTCCCGCTGCGGCGAAGGTGGGGACCCGCTAGAAATCCCAGGCGGAGGAAGCCTGGGAACGTGGGGTTCGGCAGGGCACCAGGAGCGCCCCCCTACTCACCGGGAACCCCATTTTGGGGCGCCGGAGCGAAGTGGGGTGAGTGGTGCGGTGCTGCGAACTGATTGCTATTTTCACGGAGTGAAGCCGCACAGCCATTGCCGGAGAGCGCTGACTTTTCCTGTGGACAATTGGATTTAAAACAAGTACCCGTGAGTAGAAACGGAAAATTGGATCAAGAAATATCTTAATTTGGCATCGAAGCGGGAAGGTTCAAAACAGGAAGTCCGCCTTCCGCTTTTTGTATATAGACTAAAGCAAAAACTTTGTAAGCTAAAGCCTGGAAAGCTGTTTAAAAAAAAAAGTCTAAATTTCCTTCATTCAGAATTACTGAAACCCCCTTGGAAGCAGGAGAAAAGGGGGGGGGACTTTGTTCAACTCTAGCAGGAGAGGGAGTGAAGAAGGATAAGTTTTCACCGTCTCTAACCTGGGAACGGGGTGTCAGAGACAGAAATTGTTGGAGAGGTTCATTGACTGTGAATGGAATACTTTGACAGATAGCTAAAGAAGAGAAACAAACCGATTCCAATGTTGCCTTTTGCATTCTAAAGAAACAAAATATCTGAAAAATATCAGATAAATTAAAGTAATTTTCCTTTGTTGGACTTGCCTTAAAAAAAAAAATGGATACAAATAGAAATTGTCTCCTCTAGAGGGAGCTTGTTAAATTGTTGCTGCAGTATACTTGAGGACTCAACAGCTGTGAAATTAAGATCGTGGGACCAGTCTTTTCTGACCTTGACTAAAGATGAGCTGGGAGGAAGATTGGGTGCTTGCTTTATGTAAGACAAGTGCCTTGCTGGAACAGATGCACGAGAAGATGGACTTGATGAATGAGAAAATGGATTTGATGACTGTTGTGGTTAATAACTGTGGACAAACAGGGAACATTGATACAGAAATCATTCAGGGACCAACTCATGAATCTGTACTGACTGGGCAAGTGCAGAAGATAATGGAGGAGGATGTGGTTGCACCTCAAATAATACAAATGGAGAGACCTGAGGCCCTACAGGAGCATAAGCCGCTGTCATTGAAGATTGAAGTTGGAGTGGGCCAGGGGGAGTTTGGAGCTGAGGAGGTTCCTAACGTTGGAGAGACCTTGAAATATGCTTTTAAATACTTTTTGGATTATATCGATTACTGTGGGGAGTGGGACTGTGGGGAATGGGCGGGTTTGATGAAGGGAGATGGAGACAATTTTGGGTTGGAATCCCCCAGAGACCTACTCCTCAATGAGAAAGGAAAGAAATTAAGAAAGAGACCAACAAAAGACAAGGAAAAGGGCAAGTATAAACAACAAGAAGAAGAACTGCAGAAGGGACATGGAAGAGACTTAAGGGCCTCGGACATAAGGCTTCCAGGTTGATGGACTAGATGGAATGGACAGTAAGGACTGACACGATCCGAGACCAGGAAGAAGAGACGTTGAATGAAGATTGGAAGAAAATTTATAAAGAAAACTTTCTATTTAGGGAATTAGCTTAAAATTAATGGGGGATAAAAAATTATTAGGGAAAATGTTGGAATGAAACTATATGACTCTAGCAGAAATGATATCAGGAGTTATGTATATTTGAAAACTAAGATTCAAGCTTTAAGGTATTTTAGGGTAAGATAAGGTTAAATAAATTAAGGTAATTTGAATAACAGTATATGGGAAAAGATGGAAAGGATTTGTTGAGCCAACTATTAGGTTAATTCGTTAAGATAAATTTTTTAACAAAAATTGAGAAAGATGGAAAGAATTTGCTGAAATACCTAATTAAACTAGAATTCAAAAAGGGAGATGTGAGGAGGTCAATGAAACAAGCAAATGGAAGTTATAGATATGTAATCTGGGATTTGTGTTGTTTTTTCTTTTTGTCTTCCTTTTTTTCTTTTTATCTTTTTGCTGTATTGTTGTATTGGTCTTTGTGTGTGTTTTTTTCCTTTTTATGTATTATAGTGTTGTTTTTTATTTTTTCTTTATGTTCTATAATGCTGAAACTACTAATAAATATTATTTAAAAAAAAAAAAAGAATGGAAGCTGAATGGTGGAAGGGCACCGGCGACGGGAGGCCTCATTAGGGAAAGCGCACCTCAGTTTAAGAATGGTTTTGGTTTAAGAACGGACTTCCGGAATGGATTAAGTTCGTAAAGTAAGGTACCACTGTTTCTGGCTACAAAATAAACAAGCCTAAAAGCCTTACAATCAACATCCCACCAGTAATCAGAAAACAATTGACATCAACCAGCAACACACAGTGGAAGGATAATCCAATCGAGTATTTAGGAATCTGAATAGGCCCTAATTTGGACTCACTCTCAGAATATCACCATAAAAACTGGTTGTAGCCATTTACAAAAGATATTGAAAAATGATCAACATACCAAACAGAGCCATGCCAAAATTTTATGCTGCAGTCTGTTTTTTGTCCCCCCCCCCTTTTTTTTTTATGGCCAGCAGTTAAGGAGAAGAGAAACCACATTTTTTAAAAAATAAATCACAGGGAGAGAACAGTTTGGAGAAATTCTCATTTTAAAAATCCTTGCAGTAGCACCTAAAGACCAACTAAGTTTGTTATTGGTATGAGTATCTGAAGAAGAAGAACTGTGCATGCACATGGAAGTTCATACCAATAACAAATTTAGTTGGTCTCTAAGATGGCGCTGTGGGTTAAACCACAGAGCCTAGGATTTGCTGACCAGAAGGTCAGTGGTTCGAATCCCCACGACAGGGTGAGCTCCCGTTACTCAGTCCCTGCTCCTGCCAACCTAGCAGTTCAAAAGCACATCAAAGTGCAAGTAGATAAATAGGTACCACTCTGGCGGGAAGGTAAATGGCATTTCCGTGCACTGCTCTGGTTCACCAGACGTGGCTTAGTCATGCTGGCCACATGACCTGGAAGCTGTCTGCGGACAAACGCCAGCTCCCTCGGCCTATAGAGCAAGATGAGCACTGCAACCCCAGAGTTGGCCACAACTGGACCTAATGGTCAAGGGTCCCTTTACCCTTTTGAAGATGCTACTGGAAGGATTTTTTAAATTTTGTTTTGTCATTGTCATTGTTATTGTTGCTATGCTGTGTTTGCACCTCATACTAAGACAAACCCATCCAGCTGGATTTCCCCAGCCACTCTGGGTGGCTCCCAACAGAATATTAAAAACATGATAAAACATCAAACATTAAAAACATCTCTAAACAGGGTTGCCTTCAGATGTCTTCTAAAAGTCAGATAGTTGTTTATTTCCTTGACAACTGATGGGAGGTTATTCCACAGGGCGGATGCCACTACTGAGAAGGCCCAATGTTGGTGGCTCCCTTTGCTTCCCCTGGGCTTTTTAGCTCAGTATGTCATGGCAGCTAAGCCAAAGTTTGGCTTAGCACATGGGCCAACCCCAGGATTGTGGTTACCCACAATTCATAGCCAAGGTTTGTCCTATGGTTACAGGTTTTTGGTCAAGGAGAACTAAACTATGATCCTGGGTTCAGGTGACATGCTAAGCTTAGCTTTGATTTAGCTGCCACCCTGAGTCAGACCATTGAGTCAGACCGTTGGTCCTTCTAGATGAGTATTGTCTACCCTGATTGGCAGTGGGTCTCTGGGATTTGTCTCCTAGCCATATCTAGAGAGGCTGGGGACCTTCTTCATACAAGGCAGATGCTCTACCACTGAGCTACTCAGAGTAGACCTATTGAAGTTAATTACTATGACTACCTTATGTTTATTCATTTAAATGGGTCTACTTGTGAGGAAGACTAGCATTTGCTGCAACCCAAAAAAAATAGTGGAGCAAGATTATTTGAAAAGGTAAAACTAAACTCAACTGATTTCAAAACCAGTAAGTTCTATGATCTCGGGTGCTTAGTATTCAACCTCCATAGCTTCTTGTGCCTTAGCTAAATCTCTAAGGAAGACGTCATAAGGTAACTTTTTCCACGAGGTTTTTTCAGATCCAGAAGTGCAGGCCCAAATGACAACAGTACGCAATATGTACATTTACAGCTTCTTATGGATTGTACTGCATGCTTCAAGTGTTGTTTGTGAGATTTATCTTTCTAATGTAGAGGCAGTCGTGAAAGTTTTGGCCAGATAAATATTTGTCTTCAGTGGTATTTGAGACAGGAAAATATAACTCTCGATTGGCAGGAAGAACCTGCAGGAACAGTCCATATGTGATTGTATCCTCAAGCAATCTTACCTAATAGCCATTGATGGACCTCCATGTCCTCCATTAATTTGTCTTGTGAACTAAAATGAACTTTCTGAGAGAGCCAGCAGTCCTAAAATACTTACATGCAGTCAATTTAAATTGACTAAAAATCAATGTAACTCAGTTCCTATGCAGAAACCTTTTGGATTGCAGCCTTTAAAAAAAATGTGTTGCTATAGATTATTTCTCACTTAATAAAATCATAGGGATGGACAGACTCTTGGCATTCGAGCCACAATACTGCACTGTCTGAACTCTCATATTTGAAAGCAGCAGCACTCTGAATTCTTCAGCTAAAGGTCTTAATCTTGGCTGGATCATGCCTATTATCTTTGGAAGGTGCCTCATATCCTAGCTTTGCTGGTTTTTCAGCGTATCCTATTTACTTTAATGCTCTTCTGTCACATCCACACTGTACATTTAAAGTGCACACCTTCCACCATAGAATCCTGGAAACTGTAGTTCTCCCCTCTCAGAGCAAGAATTCCCAGAAACATTAATAAACTACAGTTCCCATGATTATTTGGGGAAGACACGTGCTTTAATTGTTTCTTATGGGATAAGATATAAGGATTTGTTAGAAAACAAAACCCCAAGGTGGCTGTCACCCATGGAAGCGAAAGCCTTGAAAAAGCTCAATATGGAGGTCAAATGGCCGAAATATTGGGAAATTTTGGAACAAGATGGAGATAGACTGAAATTGCAGAGCTTTGAAAAACTAAAAAACAAAGTGCGAGACTGGCTTCATTCTTTTCAGATAATGGAGGTATTTAAATTGGACAAGAAAATTGGCTTCCAGGTGGAAAAATCAAAATTAGAAACTGAACTGTTAGAACCCAAAACTAAGAATTTGTCAAGAATGTATAACCTGCTGCTGAAATGGAATACTCAGGATGAAACGGTAAAATCGGCTATGATTAAATGGGCACAAGACGTTGGACATAACATTATGTTCGCTGACTGGGAACAGTTGTGGACCACAGATTGTTTCTTATGGATGGGACATCAATCTGTAAGAATACAACAACAATCTTTATTACGGTCCAGAGACCCAACAAATAGTTACAAAGCAATACACAATTCATAAAGCCTACCTCCAGGTTAAACAAGCATTTTGTTCAGAATATAGGGATCATTGGTTCTTGCAACCACCAATAAAAACTTTGCCACTGCTAATGTTCTAGCATTTGTCCAGTCTTCCAATAGGACATAGTGAGCCTCTGATTTTCCCGGGAAAGGTACCAGCAAGGGTAGTATCAGTTCAGCCCTGGCTTGCTCATATTTTGCACAATGCAACAAAATATGTTTTATGGAATCGATGTCTTGAGCACATGAGCAAAGTCTGTCCTGGTAGGGAACTCCTCTCAACCTGCCATCCAACACTGCAGAAGGAAAGACATTTAGTCTGGCTTTGGTGAAAAGCCTTCGATAGTTCGGTACTGTCAGGTTTTTAATGTAAGATGTTAACTTAAAGACATGCCCATATGGTACTCCTACTGCCAGCGGACTACAGACTGCGTGTGATCGAGATCGCAAGTCACTGTGTGCATTATCCCATAATCTTTGCTTTAGCATCTTTTGGGCGCCTTCATAACCCAGGTAATACAGTTGGGGGGGGGCTGTAAGAATACTGTTCCTTGCAACCTTGAGATCATTGAATAAAAGTACATTTTTCATTGTAATTAAAACTCTTTTAGAATGTTTTTGCTTTATTTTTTAATAGCATGTCTGTTTCCGCTCTACTCTCCTTGTGGAAGAAGGATGGTTAGCTGTGATTCGTGCCTTGCAGGGGGTTGAATGAGACAACTCTTGAGTTCTCTTCCAACTCTAGAATTCTATGATAAATTCAACAAAGAAATAAATACAGTACAGTCATACCTCATGTTGCGTCCACTTCAGGTTACGTGTTTTTGTGTTGTGTCCAACGGCAACCCGGAAGTACCAGAACAGGTTACTTCCGGGTTTCGCCGCTCACGCATGCGCAGCAGCACTAAATTGCACCGTGTGCATGCGCAGACATGGCACTTTGGCTTGCGTCAGTTCTGTGTTATGGACAGGCCTCCAGAATGGATCCCGTCCGTAACATGAGGTTCCACTGTACTATACACATTTCTGCAAAAATCCCTAGTCCAGTCCCCAGATTTACTTAGCATTTTTTTCAGGCAAAAACATAACAATTACCAGTGCCTAAACTGACTTATCTAGTGGTTGGGATTTTTGCTGAATGGGTGGCCTGACCCAATAAATGGGCAACTTTTGCTCACTACATTGAAGTGAATACCTGCCACAAGAAACAGCATATGAAATAAATAACAAACTTAATTTTAAAAACCTTGCGTACCTACCGCTTTTCAGCTTACGGTGGGCTCTAAGAATGCCTGCAAAGTTATCGCTGCTGGTCTGTTTTCCCAAATGGAACTTAAACTTGATAGTTATGTTTAATAATTGAACTGGAGACTATTTTCTTCTGCCACAGAAGAATCTGGAGCTCCTAGCAAAAAGTAGGAAAGTACAGTGGTACCTCGGGTTAAGAACTTAATTCGTTCTGGAGGTCCGTTCTTAACCTGAAACTGTTCTTAACCTGAGGTATCACTTTAGCTAATGGGGCCTCCCACTGCTGCCGTGCCGCCACCACACGATTTCTGTTCTCATCCTGAAGCAAAGTTCTTAACCCGAGGTACTATTTCTGGGTTAGCGGAGTCTGTAACCTGAAGCGTCTGTAACCCAAGGTACCACTGTAAAGCCATTTTTGAATCTGTCGAGACAGTGGCAATGTCTCAAGGCTGATCTTATTTAATTTGGAGAGATGCATATACCATTGGTTTGCTACTTCAAGAGCATTTTTTTCAAGGATCTTTACTTATTATACATAAGGAGGGGCTGTTCCAGATTCTTTCCCATCTGGAGCCATCCAAGCTGTTCATATAACTCACATGGCCCCAAATCCATAGTTTCTTTGGAAATTCATGCTTCTTCCCCAACTTTCTAATTGAGGCAAGACTCTGGTCTGAACTATAGTTGAGAAATGAAAAGCAAAAGCAAATCCTGTGCAACTAGAGAATAGGAAAAAGTTAATGAATGTACTTCCATTTTTTTTTAATGAGATGGCGTGAAAGTGTCTAATTCTTTTTACCTCCAGATTACACTTTCTGGCTTCTAATACTGCTGAATTTTGTTAGTACCAAAGACTTAGCCAATGGGTTTCTAATTGTTTTCTTTTATCAGCATGGCTAATGAAATGTGCATGATAAGGAGCCACACTAAGAGTCAAATGAGAGTATTAAGAGTTTTTCATATGTCAAGAGTTCTATGTGAGAAATTAAATTAGACTTCAGACTTATGGAAATTATAACTCAGACCATGTCATGGGCTGCAATATTTAATTAAAATGATAATATATTTTGCTGCAGAGAAGTGAAATTATTTTAAACGAAAGCTATTTCTTCTGGGGTCTTATTTAGGTGGTGAATTAAAAGATGTAGATATGTACAGATAAGTAATAAGACCTTTGGGGACTTTGGCCAGTGCTTATTGTTGCAAGTTTGCTACAGCCAATTCAAACAATCTTTTAGAATTAATACTTTCTGTAATCATAATTAATGCATTAAACAGAATATTTCTTCCTACACTCTTGGTCCCAACCCTCCCCCACTCCCAGTGTAATTAGAAATATAAAAATCAGCTCCAGACTGCATAAGCCTTGATGGACCCTGCTAATACATCAATTTTATTTCTGAGTCAAGCTCAAAAGGAAAACTGTGTAGTGAAAGACACCACAATTGAAATGACTTATGCTGACCAGTTACAATTTTCTCTCCTTGTAAAGTCTGTTTAGTGTTACAAAAATCATTCAAAGCCAGATTGTTGGTGCCACACATCTCCTCTGACCTTTAAATCAAATTTAGTATTTCACTTTCTAGTATGCCACCAAGCAAAACTTGACAGCTTAATAAAGTGGAAATTTTCAGCAATAAATCTAACATCTCTTTTCCCCTCCCCCTATCATTCTTGGGGGGAGAGAGAGAGATCAGAACTCTTTGGGCTTTGCTTAGAAATGTCTTCAAAACAACTGCACACATGAAACAGGATTTAGTATTGTCAGAAGTGAATGTCACACTCAATTCCATAACAGAACATAGTACCATCTTTTATCGTAACAGCGGCATTGGTAGGTGGCACAATATTCCAGAGAAACCATAAGTAAAAATCAATTAGTTGGACAAAGAGGTTGTATTTCTGCTGGTGAACTGTGAATTGCCGCACATCCTACAAATGCAAAAGTAGCATTGAACAAAAGGATGCTTCTCAGACAGACCAGCTCACCTGCTGTGAGCTACACAGATTTAGATGCAGCCTATGCTCCCAACAGAGAACACCACTTATTTCACCTGGATTGCCCTATTAACTGCCTCCCAAGGAAGATGTGTTTATGGCTAAGATCCAACAAAGCCAGTTTGGTTTTGCATTTGAATT